AAACTTGGAAGCCGTTTTCATTTGAATATAAATAAAGTTATGTTTTGTTGGGTTTTGAGCTCGTCCAGCGCGCTATAAAACGAGTGATATCTGCTAATGCAGTTAAGGTCGTCCGGTCAAAAATTCTTTCCTAATGTCAGAAGAGACAATCTCATGTGCGGATAGAAATATGCAACTTTGTATGCTCTTTCCAGCTAGTAGTATGAGAACGCTTGTTAGTATTAGGTAAGGTCGGATTCCGCTCTTCTGGCACCCCTAAAAACGCTTCAATTCAGAACTTATGGCCGGTGAAAAACCGTATTCGGAATAATTTTTCCGTGGGCGACAGTGGTCTTTCCATACCTTTAGTAGGACTATCGATTGCATATAATCAGACCTTCCCGGCTTTAAGTCGTGTATAAAGTGGGCTGACCTGTGCAGAAATACCCATCGGTCAACAGCAACCTCATATTTTCATCAAGTAAAATAATATAAACGAACATTTAACAAGGCCGGTGAGTATATAGAAGAAACTAAAGGTGACTTCGAGGACGAAGATGAAGAAATTGATGTAGAGGATGGTAAAGGTGAATATTAGATTAGATTTTCTACGTAGTATTCTTAAATGTAAATGATTTTTCTTTTGGAAATTCTATCTGGAATTTTTTTTTGTACATTTTGTATGTAAACACAATAAATCCGTAAGAATAATGCTAAAAATCTTTTATTTTAACCGACAAAATCGTTAGAAAGCAGTTTTATAAACAATATATCCATAAAAGCTTATGATAAAGCAAAATAAACATTAAGACGAGATCCAGGTTGATCGATAATCTATGTTAAAGATTATCAAACCTAACTGGACTGACATAAATCAGCTCCAGAGAGCACTTTGAGCTATCTAACCATATAGCTTAAGTCGAAAATTTATTTTAGCGTCTGTATGTTGCGACCTCTTCTTGTTTTACCTACTATACCATCGTAAAATATTACAGATCAGATTGATCAATTTTATGTACTTACTAACAGGCACAACAAACCGATTAAAATGAAAACAATCCACGCATAAAAAGACGCTTGATTACAGACAGTTTGGACGAAGAAATAAGTAAAAAGCACAAGTATAACATGCATACTCGTCGGACAATATCCATAATCGTTCTGTTTTCTCGTTTTACGAAACAAAGTGACGGACTTTTCATAAAATGACGACTTGAAATGAAAAGCATAATGATGAAAGTATAGCTGTTTTTTCATTAGGTAGCTGATAATAATCAAATCATCTCGTTTATAAACCAGTATAGCCAACAGCAGCACCTCCCGCCCAATATGCATGTCCCATCCAGTAAGAGACGAACATTGCAGCCATGAACGATAAAAATTGGGCAATGGCCATCAGTACGAATGAATAACCTACAAGAAAGAAAAAGTCGTAAGAGATCAATAGAGTACAATCTACCAACTGTTAACCTGTTGCGTTTTCAAGAGCCAAATATGTCATTAAACTTGCTGCAATCAAAATGCCACTTGAAAATAATAGTATAACCGACAACACGCCTAAAACACAGAGAGTAAAAAGCCGAGTTACATAGATGAAAAAATCTCGGTGACATACCGCAGAAACGAGCAGTTGTGTTGTTTTCATTCACTCTTTTCCATGAAATTTCAGCAAAAACAGCCAACAGAGCGCCGACCACCAGAGTAATCAAACTTGCGATAGCAATAGAAGCTGGTCGTACAGCACTCTTGTTAATGCACAATTTGTCACTCAAAGGGCACACTCGCCACAGACCTAGAAAAGAACAAGAGAGACATATCCGCTAAGATCTTTCATTTCCAAGAAAAGTGAAAGAAAATCCAGCGTACCTGCATGGGAGCCGACACCAGAGACCCAATAGTCGGTTGAAACACCAATAATTCCAAGTATGATGGCGGCAATGGTTATTACGATCACAACTGGAAATGTTGCATTCGGAAGCGCCATCTCTGGTTTAGTTCGAATATGGTGATTTTGAATTAATTTGAAAAAATCGAAAAAGAAGAACAAGCTATTAAGACTGTTTTTGCTGCCGCGTAAGCAATCATCGATTTTATTTTCATTGATTTTATTTTTTATTCTTAAATGCTTACAGTAATTACAAAAGCCGAACCCAGAAGTTTCTGTCTCTCTAAGAACAAAAAGTTAAAAATGATGACTTTGGGTGACACAATTGCTGATACAATCTTAACTTTTCATCTACATATAAATGATATTTTTTTCCGGAATTGGAAAGAAGAGCTTCTTTTGAGACCGAATTGAGTTTTAGACACGAAGCTGTTGGCTGGCACGTTGTGAAGAAATCTAATGTATCGTGAGAAATCGAGTAAATATACCTCTTTCTTTTTACTATGGAAAATATGTACGAATTCAGAATAGGTTAACAGTTACAGATAATGAGCAAAAAATGACGAACGGTAAAAACACATACACGATGCAGTACTGCACAACCTTCTTACATTTCGATTGCGGACAGAAAAAGAAAAAAATGCAGTAAAAGAGAGAAGAAAAGAAAAAATCGGTGTACAAAGAACATATTGTACGTAAGACTGTCGATGATGTGAATGCTTTTTTTTTAACTGATCTATACCTGTAGTCACCAGTGATGACTCACTCACCTATCAATGCCTGATCCCTAATGTACTACAGGTGAAACGAAGCCATGATAGAAGGCTGTTATTTTGGTTTAAACTTTAATATCGAAGAAACAGTAATCAAATCAGGCTCTGTTCATTGTAGCACTGCGAGGACGAGAAATAAAACAAAAAGAATAAATGGATAAATAAATAAAAAGTAAAACGATAAAGTTTTAACAGCTTAGAACAGTAGAAACAAGAAGGAGATGAGGAGGATTTTTTGTGGCGCTTGTGCGAGTGAGATATAAAGAAATTTTTACGTGAAAGAAGTAACATCATTTACGCTCGAAAGCGGTTAGATTCTCTAATGAAATCAACGATAGCCTTATAAATACTTTTACTTTTTTCAAATTCAATAGACAAACTCCTAAAACCAGTAGAAAGTCAAGAGAATGAATAATTTGTGTGCCCAATATGGAATTAATAGTGCTCATCAGTTTCTTTCGGGTCTCATGGTACTTCTGACAGATTAGAAAAAAATGATTTTTTGATTCGTCTTCCCCGCATGTACATGATGGATCAGAAATAAGGGTGTATCTAAATAAGTCCGCATTCAATCGTGAGAATCCAATTCTTAAACAAGCGAAGTAAATTTTGTTACTTCTGTCCTCACTTCTAGGCATACGATGTTTAATTTCACCACAGACTTCAATTTTTTTCAATTCCAACAATCTGACTGGGAATCTAGTATAATTTCTTATCAAACAAAGTTCAACAGAAAGCCGATTCCACATCTTACAAGTTGTAGTGATGAAGCAGTCTTCATATATCAACAATCTACGGTGCTAAACTGGAATTGTTCAGCGTTAGTACTTCTACTTCTCACTAAATACGTATGTCATGTAGTATTAGTTGGACTGAGCGATTGAAGAAAAGTGGATACTTTGGCAAACTTAATTTTATGAAATAAGCAAAGTCGCTGAATAATGAAGGTTTCAACTGTCGAAACCCATCCAAGATCAGATAATGTTTTTGTAGCTGAAGATAGTCTCATTCCACCAGTAATTGCCAAGACTGAATTAGTTATATTGGAGAATAGATATATGTCTCAATTAGTTTATATTGTGTGGTACCAGAATAAATAACATCGGTAAAATAAATTATGGAGAAAATAAAGGCATTGTAGACTACACTTACGACTTCTCGGAATACACTTAGGGCTATCCAGAAGTAGTGGCGAAGATACTTTATTTTCGTACAGAAAATAAGCTTGAGAAAACTTCAATCTGTTTTTAAAAGATGCGTAATTTAATTCTCTACAAAACTGATGTTGACTGTATTTTGCAGTAATGAAATTCTAAATTTCAGAGGTCAAACACTTCGATGGAATCAAGTTCAACCACCTCCCACTGAATTTTGGAATTGTTTGTGTGTAGAATCTCAACAAATATCGGGCTCATAAAATACGACACCATAGATAGTCCTTAAAACTGTCTACTGATTGAGATTAGATATGAAAGCTACTTTCTACTCGTTGAATGACATTTTTTTCTAAAAAGTCATATTTCGAAAAATAGCGCGATTTTCCCCTTCCAGCTGCTGTCTGCAGAAAAAAAACATTATGAGAAAGCCATTTATAGCTCAGAAAAGATCATTAATATAAAGTTTTATATGAAAACGATTTACCTTTCTTCTTACTACAAGAAACAGTAAACAAATATTTTTATAGGGTTAGGAAATAGTTAATAGCTGCCGACTTTTATGGTCAAAAATTAAAGAAAAGAATTTTTGCTACGGCAACAGATACCATGTCCACAAGATATTATATATCTTTAGAAGAGCTGTTGATGCACTATCGAAAAATGAATACCTAATCTTCTCAGTATTTGTCGTTAGTACAGAAAAAAACTCGCAAAACATTCTGAGAATCAATGGGACGTGATTGACGTAGATTCCATTGAAGTGTTTGATCTCTAGAATTTAGAATTTCATTACTGCAAAATATAGTCAACATCAGTTTTGTAGAGAATTAAATTGCGCATCTTTTGAAAACAGATTGAAGTTTTCTCCAGTTTTCTATACGGAAATAAAGTACCTCCGCCACTACTTCTGGATAACCTTAAGTAGCATGATTTATCAATTTCATAGTACCTATAATTTTTGAACATTTAACAAAAATGTAATCGGTATGGCAAATCCAGTCTAACTTGAGAGTTAGTACTAGTTCCAGATGAGTTACTTTGTCAAGATAGACTAGAGGTGAACCGTCTAAGACTAATACAAGTGGAAGACTTCTCTTCATCATCATCATCAGACAACTGCAAGGGCGTCATAGCGTGTGCAGTCGATCACTAGCTTTCTCCACTTTTCGCAGCCTTCTCTATCTCAGCTTCTGCCATCAAATGTGTGCTGCATATCAGTTGGGTGATACTTTTAACGAAGCTCAGTTTTGGTCGCCCTAGCTTTGGTTTTCCTAGCTGTTGACTTGGTTGGTACAGAGCGTATTTTCGAACTGGCTCTTCTTTGTCGCGTCTGAGCATGTGACCAACCCATGTTAACTGTCTTTTGGCCATTTTGATGGATAATTGGAGCTGATTGACGCGATTGTACAGCATCTTGTTTGACACATGCTCGATTCGTTTTATGCGTCTTCTCTTACAGTGACTAAAAAACATGACATTTGACTTGGAAATATTGATTTTCAAAAGTCAGTCTTTCGACCATTTAGATATAATCTTAAGATTAATGTTTATTTAATTAAGGGCTTACATCATATCAGAAGCTACAGCATACAACGAAACGTCATCAGCAAATAGTTTACACGAACATTGCAGAAATTCAGGCAGATCATCAATAAATAATAAAAACAAAAGTGATTTCTAATATTGAAGCGTGCGGCATCCCACATCCTATGCTAGCCTTCTGAGAAAAAAAGCATCAGTCATTGGTAATCTTTCTATAACTAAGATAGCATTCTATTAACATAGTAGATAAATCTTCACTATTCAACTTTATCAACAGCGTCTCATGCGAGACTGGTCAAAGGCCTTTTTGAAAATCAATCAAAACAGTCAGAATAAGATTTCCCTCATTTTTAAAGTGCTAAAATTAATGAGCACTCGCCATAATAAGACATTAAGAAATAAAATTATTTTTTATTCGGAGCAGGAAATGGTCTTTTTAAGATCTTATTTAACTTATTACCCTGAATCGTCTTTTTTACAATATTTAATGCATTGTATTATATATTAATCCATATAACCAATATTTGAATATATTGCTAACCCTGGTCTTGCTAGTGGTCATAAAACAAACTGAAAACCTGAAATTCTTGCCGTTGAATCTCATGGAATAAAAAGTGAGATAAAAGAGAGTTTACTTATGAATATGCAGGGTAAAAAGAAAATTAAGATTCTCGAAAAATCTTTACTCTGAAAGTTTTTGACGATGCATAATGTTATGTACGACTAAATAATTGACTAAGTTACATGTTTATGTTCTATACATGTGTTTCTTTTCTTTTCTGTGCTTAACAGGAGAGAGAAAAACATTTTTTGTCACCGTTTGACTGATGATGTCTTTTGAATAAAGACGAAACTACTATCTGTTCCAAAATACAAGGACAGCGATTATTTTTTGAATAACTCCAAACCCAAGAGCGAAAAAGAAACACGGAACGTGCGTCAGAACTCCGTTCAAAATTTTGAATTTCGTTCCGATTCCATTCAAAACCGATCAAATTTTTCAACTTTACCCGTTTCACACCTGTTCACAAATTTGGATTTAATGGGGTTCAACAACTCGTTTCGCAGAGTCCATAAAACGGGCGTTCAAGAATTAGTTCATAACTGTCATTTTTTGTCAAAGTCAGGAGGAGTTCAACAACCCTAAAAATATGTTTGCTATAAAATAACAACCTAAATGTAAAATAGTACTTTTTTTATTTTTTGTACTTTTTCATGTTGTTCGCTACCAATGAGTCATAGATGACCCATCATATTGCTCAACGTTGGTGCAACTTTGATTCGATTCAACCTTGAAATTGACATATTGTACTAGTAATTGCTTTCTACTAGTTAGTTTGCCGTCAGCTTCTATAGATCAATGGTGGTAGGTCAAGAGTTAAAGAATTTGAACAAATATATAAATCATATGATGCTGTTAGATGATATACAAAACTAATATTTTTATTTCGATTCGTTAATCGAGCATTAATAACAGAAAATGTTGAGTTCTCATATTATTTACGTTATTTTATCGTTGATCTTTGTATAACTTTTAAAACAACATTCGATAAGAATTATAATATTTATCAAAAGTCTTTTGATACACTTGTATTTTATTGAGGTATAACACATCTAACAATGATAC